GTGCATTAGAAGACATAGTCACAGATGAAACTGGATTTCAGCTTCCTCTTCATTTTTAAAGTTTGAATATCCTGCATTTGGGATTAGAGATGGATGTATATAATAGGAAAAAATTTCATCAAAAACATCTTTAGAAGTTGTACATCTTTGTATTTTTGGATCAAAATACCTCCAACCTTTTCTTTGCGGATCATACCCAACAAATACACATATGATAGCTTTCTTATCCAACTTAGTTCTTTGGACTTTTGGCACATGAATATAACAAGTAGAACCAAATATTCTAAAATTAGAAACCGAAGGTTAACTCCATACAATTTCTCATATGGGGATTTCATAGACACACTACTTGATGGAAGTCTGTTCAAAACATAGCTTCACAACTCATGGCTTCTGCTCAGAACTCCTTAGTAAATTTTTAGCATATATTCCACTCTTTAGGTAAATTTTTAGCTAAACTTAAGACATATTATACTCTATGCAATAAATTGGGAACAAGAGAAGGTGAAAAAGATATCTTCAAATTAGCAAAGATAGGAGAGAAAAAGTGTAGGGATCAATACCATAGGAAATGCATTAAGAGTGAGGATCAAAGGACCTTGGTGAAGGATGATGAGGTCAATAAAAGGTAGAGAGCCTATTTTAAAAAATTATTAAATGACAAACAAAATGGGAACATAGTGGTAGAAGGGACTGTTGATACAAGTGACGGCGGAGGTCATAGATACATTCATAGGATTAAGATGTCAGAAGTGAAAGAGGCCTTGAAAAGGATGAAGATAAGAAAGGCTCTAGGACTAGATGGTGTCCCGATAGAGGTTTGGAAGTGCATGGGGGAAATTGGTATTAACTGGCTGACGAAGCTGTTCAACAAGGTGTTGAGAACAATGAAAATGGCAGATGAATGGAGGAAAGGTATTGTCGTGCCTATTTACAAGAACAAATGAGACATACAAAATTGTGCAAACTATCGAGGGATCAAGCTTATGAGTCATACTATGAAGCTCTGGGAGAGAGTCATTGAGCAATGACTAAGGAATGAAACGAGCATATTTAAAATCAATTTGGTTTTATGTCAGGAAGGTCAATAACTGAGGTTATTTTCCTACTTAGGCAACTGATTGAAAAGTTTAGGGCGAAGAGAAAAGTCCTCCACATGGTCTTTATTGATCTATAGAAAGCTTATGATATAGTACCTTGAGATTTGATTTGGCAGGTGTTAGAAAAGAAAGACGTCTCTAGACACTACATCGACTTGGTGAGAGATATGTATGATGGGACGATAACTAGTGTACGAACAACAAGTGGAGAAACGAGTGAGTTTTCAATGACAATAGGTCTACACAAGTGTTAGGAAGAAAGGCGTCTCTAGACACTACATCAACTCGGTGAGAGATATGTACGATGGAGCGATAACTAGTGTACGAGTGAGTTTTCAATGATAATAGGTCTACATCAAGGGTCAGCATTGATCCGGTATCTGTTTGTCTTAGTTATGGACGACTTAACTAAGCATCTGCAGATGACATAGTTTTGATTGATAAGACTTGAAGCGACGTCAACACAAAGTTAGAACTTTGGAGGGATGCTCTAGAATCCAAAGGTTTAAAAACTAGCCGGACTAAGACAAAGTATATGGAGTGCAAGTTTAGTAATAATAAGAGTAGAGACAAGGAAGTAGTTAAGATTGATGGCCAAGAAGTAAAAAAAAGACCGCATTTTTGATATCTTGGGTCTATAATCTAGGAAAATGGAGAGATCGAGGAAGATGTCGCACACATAATTAAAGTTGGGTGGGCAAAATGGAGATGTGCAATTGGAATTTTATGTGATCGTCGCATACCAATGAGGCTGAAAGGTAAGTTTTATAGGACAACAGTGAGATCAACTTTGCTCTATGGAGTGGAATGTTGGGCAGGCAAAAGACAATATACCCATAGAATGAGTGTAGCGGAGATGAGGATGTTGTGATGGATAAGTGGCAAGACAAAAAGGGATAGAATTCAAAATGAATTTATTCAAGAGAATTTAGGCGTGGCACCAATAGGAGATAAAATGAGAGAGTAGATTAGGGTGGGCTGGTCATGTGTGGAACCGACCAAGCACAATACCTTAAGAGGTACGAGTTATTTCAAGTGGAAGAACTGAAAAGGGCAAGGGGTAGGCCCAAAAAAACGTGGTTGAATGTAGTCCGAAAAGATATGGGGACTTGTGGCCTCACTAAGGATATGACCTTTAATAGAGTAGAATGGAGAACCAGGATTCATGTAGCCAACCCCAATTAATTGGGAAAAGGCTATAATGATGATGATGATGATGATGATGGTCCAACTTCTACACCACCATTTTGTTGTGGTGTGTAGGCACAAGTTAATTGTCTCTTAATTTTATTTTCGTGACAAAAATCATGGAATTCCTTGGACACATACTCTCCCCCATTATCTAATCTTAAACACTATATCTTGTTTTGAAAGTCCCCTTCCACCATGATTTTAAACATTTTGAATTTAGCTCACACTTCAGATTTCTCCTTTTGAAAGTATACCCATTAATATCGAGAAAAATCATTAACAAGAGCAAGCATATATTTTGAGCCCGAAATGCTAGGCGTTGGACATGAACCTAGCACATCTGAATGACTCAACTGTATTCGTCTGGTAATTTTAATTAAGGAATTATCAAATGGTAGTTGATGTGACTTCCCATAGTGACATCCTTCACAAAGACCATTAACATCAGATTTCACTGAACAAGGAATTCGTCTTAGTAAATTTTTTGATAGAATTTGCTTCAATTTATCATAGCCAACATGTCCTAGTGCATGCCATAGACTAGCATTATCATTTCGACTTGTTTTACTGACATATGAATCACTTGCAGAAAGTGTATAAAGTGACTTTACCTTCTTCCCTTGGAAGATAACATCTGCATCAAAAGATTTCATATTTTCTAAACTTTCACATCATTTGGGCCAAAAAGAACATACCTTCCTGTTCTGAAATTTTTGAGATGCATACAAGGTTCTTTGTCATTCCAAGAACATCGTAAACATTTTTGAGGAGCACCCCACCTTTTTCTCCACTCGTTTGAATCTTCATGATTCCTTCACTTTCCACCGGGTGTATGGTATTATCCGCCATAATGAATAGTATCATTTCATTCATGATTATGAAGATCCGAGAACTTTGATTTGTCCCTGGTTAGATGATGTGAACAACTAGACTCATCAATCCAATCTTTCTTATAATCAATTGAAGTCAAAGCTTGAACATTGGATGAATTCTTTGATCCTGATACAAGTGAAACATTCCGATCTCTCGAGTCATTTTTACTTCACCCGTCATTGCTTTCTTTTAGTTTAACTCTACAATTTTTCTTTATATCCACCATCTTTCCATGTCGATAACATTTAACTTGGGGTTATTAGGCTCGACTTCAATTTTTGGAGAACAAATTGGCAAATAGAAATTTGAGAAGGACGAAAAATGGAATGGAGTCAAGAAAGTAGAATGCAGAACAACAACAACTAAGAGTGTAGAGAAATCAACGCTAATGAGCTCTTTCTTCTGTCTTGCTTCAAAATTTACAAGTACACGTGTATATATAGGACCATGGGGTAACTTCTAGACCAAATCTAGTACATTCTAGTGAGTTTCGTTGTCCTTACTTAGGCCCCAAGAAATTGTGACGAGCTTACTAGAACATTGACACCAATTTCAACAAGTTCACACTACTTTTCCATACATAATTAATGACTTATAATATCATGCCCAAACTACCCTCAAATATTTATACATATTCCAAAACTACCAATAAAATCTCTGCATTGGTAGAATTAGAAGTCCATCTCTTTGTGCAATGTGTTTTCTGTTACATAATATATGAATGAATACTGATGGAAGTTGTGAGTCATTCATGCAGATAATTGAAGCTCATTTGAATTGAATAGCAAAGCCATGAAATATGTTATAATAGAGCAAAACTTGGCTGATACATGTAGATTCCAGGCTTACCTATATACATGGTAAGTCTTCAGGAAATTGCAGAATGATGCATATTGTGCTGGGCAGTGTTATACATCACTGCATAGATTAGCTTATTCAGCCTTGGACGAGTGAAATCTTTGCATTCTTCATTACCGTATTTCTGGAGATCTTTTTTAGCTAATTTTCAATTCAAATACAGGTATGTTGTATCTTATCACCTATGGGCATAAACCAGGTAGCATAAGAAATTGGTGCTGTTTTCGTTATTGTTCAATAAGGCTAGTTATGAAAGACGATTTCTTTCAAGAGTTTTCTAATACCTATTGTATTGATGTAATACACTTTCGTTTATCAATAAAACAAAGTAATAGCTTTTGAATAAACCTATCCAAGTATATTTCCAAAAAAAAACAGCCTATCCATTTACGTCATTTTTATAAGCTAGATTTAGCTCTAAAATGATCAGTCTCTGTGGCATGCTTCACAAGTCAAAAGAAAGAGCACAGGACTCGTATCAGATCTACCTTGCTCCAGTCTTTTGTTTATGAGTGACATGTATATCTTCTGTGTTACCTGCTGCTATGTGGCACCCTCCTTGTAAGTCTGATAGTTACAACTATGCATAACGTGCCATCCAAATGCAAGATCTTGAAAGGTTGATAACAACACTATCTCAAACTGGCAGAAACATAGGGTCTATGTTTTATAATAAACCTCTGAACCAAACATCGTAAATATATGCATATGTCGATTTCCATTCAAATATTTTTGGTGCTCCTTAATGGATTCTGGGCAGCTCGACTAGTCCACTTACAAACAAATGATTAGTAAACATCATATCTTTTTATTGCTCATCTTACTTATATTTGTTATATATATTGCATCATAATTTGTCAAATGTTTCGGACGATCTGAAGTCCCCTATGATATCATGTTTTATTAGTGGAAGCTAGCTCTTGTTTGCAGGATATATTTTCCATAAAGGCATCTAAGAAGTCACCTCTTTTATTGCAGATGCTTCTGTTGATCTTTGCGATGATCTGTGGAGTTTTCATTTGCTTTGTCTGTTTAAAGCAGATAAGCACACATGTGCAGCCCATGTACGTTGTGCCAAACATTATTATGGTCGGAACTCCTTGTCCTGATAATAGTATTGAACCAGCAGATAGTTTGTATTTGCACTACCCGCAACCTACGACTTATGGAAGGTATACTAGATTCATAGTTGCAGTTTATGTAGCATGCATTACTTTTTCTTCTTTTTTCTTTCAATGTAATTTACTGACTTTTTAATCTGCAGGGGTGAATGCAGGTGTACTCCTGTTCGTCATTTTTCAATCTTGTCCATGCAAAGGTCTGGAAGTGGGTGGTTTGAAACATTACTCAACAGCCACCCCAACATTAGCTCCAACGGAGAAATTTTTTCTGTTAAAGAGAGACGAAGTAACATTTCATCTGTTTTGAGGACTTTGGATAAGGTTTACAATTTAGAATGGACTAGTAGTGCTGCCAAAAATGAATGCACAGCTGCAGTTGGTTTTAAGTGGATGCTTAACCAGGTGTGACATCATATTTAATTTCTGAATCTGATCTTCTAGAATTTAGTTCGCATGTGTGAGAGTCCCAGCCTTTATGCACCCTGCTTCTCTGTATTTTATGCCTGTGTTTTTTCCATCATTATCTGTAGGCAGCTTTTTGTTGCATTATCTTTTTTTAGGTTATATGGTTTCTTTTTCTTGCATTATCATATGCATGTTTCATGCTATTTAATGACTACACTATTGATAGTAGCAAATAGTTACATGGAGGCTTGTTTGATCACAATTAACTAATGATTCTAAACCAAGAAATCTATAGTTATAGAGTAATCTAAGCAATTGAATTTTGTAAATTTTATTGTCTCAAAGATTTGTAGAAGAGTAATGAGAAATTAAAGGTAAAAATATTTAAATTGAAAATTTAAAAATAAAAAGATTATTGAAATATTAAAAATAAAAATATTTGTAGAATATGTATTCATGAGTGACCAAAAGGATTTTTAGAATATCTTCATTCATGAGTAGCAAAGTTTTTCTGTAGTACATATCCAGTTGCACCATGTACAAAAGTTGTACTCTAGAGATCCATGACTCCATTCATGACCTTATCAATTTGAATAAGACACCAAAATACATTCTTTAATTATTGTTGCAATTCTGCCTGCAAAATTCACACTTTCTGTTGGAGGTTCAGAAATTAAAGGTCCTACATTAATTGAAGTTTCTTGTTGAAAAGTGCCGTGATTTTGAGATTGTCAGCAGCAGGGTTTTAAAAATCGGCGAGTCGCAACGGACTCGCCCGAGTCGACACGGGAATCTGGCACCTCGTGTCGATTCTTCTGCAAAACCGAGAATCGCCCGATCCTAGAGGAGAATCGGTGATTTTGAATCGTGAATCGCCCCTATTACGTCATAAATCGCGATTCCAGCCTCTTAGTGACTTCACTGGGCCGCTTAGTGATGTCACAAAGCAAGTACTTACTTGAGGACATTTTGGTAATTTTTTTCTAAATATCAATTCAGGTTACTTTTTCTCTTTATCGCGCTGGCATAAAGGCTTTTGTAAAGGTATTTATATCTTATAGACTTTCTCCAATTATTCGATGTGGGATTTGCGCTAAGCGATAGTATATTGCAAATTCATACAATATAGTTAAATATTGTACAAAACTCTTCAGCAGCGCGCGAAGGGCTGTCGTGGTTAGCAGCAGAGGTTTTATGCGTGACGTCCCAAGTTGGGACGCTATAGTGCAAAATTTTTTTTTTTGCTTCATAAATTTTTTTTTTTTAAAAAATAATATCATAAAAAAAGAAGATAAAAAAATAATATCAAAAAAATAATATCATAAAAAAAAGAAGAAGATAGCTTTTCACTTTTGTCTTAAAAAAAAAAACTAAAATTTGTCTTCTAAAAAAAAAAAATAGGTTTTTACTTTTGTCTTTAAAAAAAACCTAAAATGAAGAAAATAATATGATAAAAGAAATAAAAAAAATAAAAAGTAGTACAATAAGCCAAAAAAAAAAGGTAATATAACATCTTCTTTTTTTTCTTGTCAAAAAAAAAAAAAAGTAATACAACAAATATCATATTTTCTCGTAAAAAAAAAATACAAGTATTTCTTGTCAAAAAAAATAAAAGATATTTCTTAATACGACAAATATTTTTTAATACAAACTAGGAATAACTGATCTAATTATAATTTTTATTTCTATAATATGGTAAGCTTTAACATAAATTAGGAATATTAATTTTAAGATATGATTCATACACATTTGAAATATTTCTCTGTCTCTAACAATCTCTTCCATTAAATTTATTCTAGAATTCTAAAAAATTATATTTTTAAAAATTTGAAGTGTTATTTCGAAAATTGATGCGCATTCGAATAATTTATATATTGATAATAGTATTTTATTTATGTATTTATTTGCATTATAAATCTTGTAATGTATTATTTTTCTTACAGTTGTCAATAATAGATTTTAAATTAAATGATATTATAAAATATTTTAAATTTGCTATTATTTATATAATAAAATATAAACCAACAATTTTCGTTGCAATATATAGTATTATAGTTAGATAGGTTGTAATAATTTTGGATTATAGTTAGTTAGGTTGTAATAATATGGTTTTTTTTTTTTTTGGTGGATTAGGTTTTTCCGCCTATTGGAGATTTTAATGGTCATTTTTTATCGATTTAATCAATTATTTATTGTAGTCTATGTATGATTATATACTTTATCCATGGTAATTCTATGTTTTTGTTTTATGTGATGCAAATTTAATGGTTAACATAAGTTCATACAAAAAAAAAACGTCTTAATCATTATCAAATTGATTAAAAATGAAAGATAATAGTGTAATACCCGTATTTTTTATTGGATTCTTAAAAATTAACATTTATAATGAATTTTCCTTATTGTTTTGGATTTTTTTTATGGCTTGATAGGACCGATTCGTTCGATTCCCGATCCGGATCGCCGATTCACCGATCCGGATGTGTTTTTGAGGTGCCCGATTCTTTTTTTAAACCACTGGTCAGCGGTTTTGAATCCAGCGCATTCATTATTAAAGATTTCTTGTGCTCATGGAGCATACGCTTGGCTTACTTACAAAATTAGTGCGTAAGTCTTATCAAAATCATCTTTGATTAGAATGAATAGAAATCATCTCATGTTTGCTCTAGCGGCTCAGCAGAAATCTATTGCTTCACTGTTCAAAAATAAAAACAAGAAGTGTCAACATCATTAGTGAATGCTTTGTCTTGTATCTTTTACCTAGGTCTTTAAGGGCACGTAGGATAACTGGAAGTAACAGCTGAAGAGTCTTGAAGTTCCAGTTTACTGTAGAGTTTTCTTGTTTGATAACAGGAAGTGCTGCAGGAATCAGGCCTTAGGAAGTTCTGGGTTCTCAAAAATGAGAACCTGCAGCTGCCATACCCACCTTGAAAATTTGTTTATCCTGTTTGCAGGAAGTTTGCCTCTCACCTTCTTTTTCACTTAACCTGTCCTTTCTCTTTTTCTCCAACTCTCTTTAACTCCTTTCTTTCTGTAACCATGTCCTCTCTCTAAATCTTCTCTCTAACCATGCGTTCCCTATCTCTTAACCTCTCTCTCTCTCTCTCTCTCTAACTGTGCCATGTCTCTTTCTAGCTCATTTCCTAAATATCACCCTTTCTTTGTCTAATGCCTTTCTCTCTCTAACTTCTTGCCCACCCTCTAGCCATGCCCTTTCTCAATCTCACTCTTGCTAATCATTCCCTTTCTCTCTCTACCCATGCGCCTTCTCCACTAAATTCTCTCTAGTCATTCCTTTTCTGTCACTAACTGCTTTATCAAACAGTGCCCTTTCTCTCTCTAACTGATGTCTCTCTAACCATGGCTTCTCTCTCTAAGCTCTCTCACTAATTGTGCTGTATCTCTCTTGACTCCATTCTCTATTTGAATGTTCCCTTTCTCTCTGTAAGTCCTTTCATTCTAACCATGGCCTTTCACTCTAACCGTGCCCTTTTTCCAACTTCAAGAACACTCTTTTATACTGGATGTTTGAGGTGCACCTTACTTTTATAGTATAAGGTTGTAACTTTGTGTAAACTTTTTCCTTTATATTTTGCATTGATTATTATTCATGGTACACATGGTTTCCTTTGTTACAAAAAGATTTGAGTAGTTTCCCATTTGTCGAACATTTCCTTCCAGGGTTCCTTTAAATACCAAAATATTACATTTGAATTTAGAATGAGAACCTGTGCAACATTTCCTGAGATATCTACAACACTTGATACATAATAAACAATCAAGCCACCTAACGTAGAAAAAAAAAGAGGGGGGGAGAAGGCTATTCAAGAAATACTATACATGTATGAATATCAGGTAGCAAAAGGTTGGAGATCACATAGGATCAGATTTGCGCTTACGTGATTCCCGTCATTCCATTCATATAGGCTCCTTCTCTAGCGAGATGGTCAGTTTCCATGTTTTCCTTCCGCTCTCCAAGAGACATGTATGTCCCAGAAAGAATGGGGGATTTAATAAAAAATGTGGTGCAGTCTTCGTGGATATGGGGAGAGACATTCTTAGAGTTCCCTTCTATGACCAAGAGAGAGCCCCAATCCGGGTTGTAGTTCTTGAGTCCATCGTGGAGAGCTAGAGCTTCGGTCATTGTAGGGTCTGCCTGTCCAATTGATTGGGAGAAAGAGAAAAAAATGTTGCCATTGTGGTCTCTGAAGATGCCTCCTATTCCGGTTGGGCCTGGTTTGCCCAAGGAACTACTGTCAAAATTGAGTTTGGATTGCCCTAACTTGTGTGGTCTCCATAGTGAAGCCCTTGCGACCTTGTGGGCCGTAAGTTAAGCATAGCAAGCCACTTTTGGAGGAAATCAACAGAGGAGAAGTGTTTGAAATAACTATGATTGGAGGCCCAGAATATGAACATGGATAGGACCCTTTCATTCATGTTTGCTAAGGTGAATTTGGTTTCTCGAAGATTTGATTGTTTCTCAGCCCGTATTCCCCGCAAAGTTACTGCCACTGAAGGTTTCCATAGGAGGATCCCCAACTTCGACTAGAGTCGTGGTAGAGGGATGCGAAAATCTGTGGTGTTGATTGTGGAGTTACCCATGCCCACTTAGAACGTGTAAGCAAGGCACCTCGTAGGGCATGAGCTATAGCAGTGGAGGAAGAGATAGTCATTGGTTTCTTTCTCTTCTAAACACATGACGCATCTGTTGGGTTATGGGATGCCCTTCCTCGGAAGTCGGTCGATAGTGAGTGCCCTTCGGGGCAAGGCTATCCAGGTAAAGACCTGAATCTTAGGTGGGATAAAGGTAAGACACTCTTTGGAGCAAATAGCATGGGCTCTCTCAAGAGGGATTGATTCGCGATAGGAGAATACGGTAGAAAGAAGAGACCAAAAAAAGGTCGGAAAGGTTGGGAGACCAGATGATGGTTTCACTGCTGGTACAAGAGAAGGGAGAAGAGTGGACAAGTGCAGATAGGGCTAAAAAGTCTTCTATCTCA